AACAACTCAGTCTCTAGAACGGTAAGCCTGTCAGTGGCGACTATGTCTGCCTTCAATGGTCGCTCGAGATGAAGATCTTGCAATTCAGATAGGAACGGTTGTATTCGTCAGTATCTATCAATTATGTTAGCAAAATTCTGCTCTAGGAGAAAACCAGCTATTTTTACGTAATGAAACCAAAGTCAGGGCAACTATCTTATGAAGCAGTGGAAATAGGGGTGCTTTGATTGAACACGGCAGGATAACCGAAATCAATTCTCTAAATAAAGGAACATGAAAAGATATTATAAGCGCCATAAAATCGATAAAGTCGATAAAATCAACTAAAAGTCATGAGTTACGCAAAAAACGAATTCCAAAAATAAATCAGTGGGCTATAACATAACCCTTAGTCAGCGAACCCATTATTCAACGTATTAACCACAATTAACTGTAGACATAAATCCAACTTCGTCTAAACAGCAAATAGAGCACCAGCTCATAGAACTAACTGCAGTTCTTAGTCATGGAAGTATCACAGATAAATAATAAAACACTTATATTTGCGGCAACACCTGCAATTTAATATTATGAAGCGAAAAAGTTTAAAATATACAAAATGCGTGCAAAAAGTGAGCCAAATATCAATACTAGCATAACAAGACAGCTAACTACCTACAAAATCGCTAACGAGTTGCCAGCTAAGTAATATTTAAAAAGGCAGTCCATAAATGTACAAATCAGAAAAAATTACAGGCTTGTTGGCTAACAACACTTACTAAGGTAAGTTGTTTCAACAAACAAACCGCTGTATTATATTAAGAGGAGGCACTCATGAGTAATCTGTAGACAAGTTTCGAGCGAATATCCGCATAAGGTCGATGTAATATCCCGAAATATCGCATTCAAATAACTCCATCCGATTGTACTGATATTTGTAAGTGATTGGATAACTTACGGATGGGTGATAAATTAACTTTCCTGTATTAATTGCGGCCCATTCCCATACTTGTGATGCTTACTTGTATCTGAGGCAGAAAAACGAGCTGCCAGTTTTTCTTTGCGATACTTAATGAACTCTGCATGTCAAACCACGAGATTGGGGCCCTGATGTAAGTAAAAAGCACAAGTATAGGATTGGGCAGCAATAAATGCAAGGAACTTACTTTATCACCCACCCGTAAGTTATGCAATCATTTGCGCATGTAAATCAATCACAGCAATCCCAACTACTCATTAAACATAAGTAGAAATAGTGTCAATGAAATAAAGGTGTGAGTGACTACGATCTCGCCATTGTTTCGAAACTACGAAAGTTTTCGAGGCTGCGCGTTGTTGATCACCTTCATGGAAGTACATGAACCAGACAATAGCAGTTTTTTTACTCCTCCGAGACTTTCATTGTAAGTTATGATGATTTGCTCCCTCAGTGAGGGAGTCACGTGACAGTCTAAAGATAGGGTCCACATGCTCTTCCCAACAAGGATTTGCCTTTTGCTTTTCAGGAAATGCTGTAGGCTTTTATTTGTACTAATGATAATTTGTATCCAAGTAATGATTCATTTCAGACATCCCACTTTTTGCATGTCATAAATAATTGACTTCAGGTCGAGTATAAACCACATTAAATTGAAACTGCACATAGGACTCCCAGGATACTAAGCATTTTTTGCGTTAGTTAGTCGAACCACGCAGACAGCCATGTTAGCGGTAGTGGGCGGGTGATACTGTAAGTTCACTTAGAGGTTTAGACGGAAATCGTCCCCTGTATTTCCAAAGTGCAAGTGGGCAAAGGTGTAGCCTTTTGTGAGAATGCAGTCAGTTTCAACGTGAGATTTCACTTAACCTTCAAAGTTTAGTGGATAACGTCGGGCTTAAACGAAGGAAATTGAATAGCGGACGCAAGCATTTAGAGTCCAGAGGTTTCGAGTTCGCGAACTTTCAGTTCGCACATCCTTCTACCGTGACCTCGTTTTAATCATTACATTCATGTTTTTATAGCATTTCCAAGCGGTCTACGACTATGAGGCAAACGAAGAGGATGAAGTCAGCTTCAAGGAGGGCGACGAGATCCTGCACGGCGAACCAATTGACGACGGTTGGATGTACGGCACTGTGAAGAGAACGGGAAAATTTGGCATGCTCCCCTCCAACTATGTTGTCCCCATACAGAATGCCAATCAGTGAAAACGGCATGCCTCCTCCCACCACTCCTCCCAGTCCACACATGTAACTGGTCAATCCCTATCCTTGCTCCGCTCTGTACCCGCAGTTTTTATGCATCAAACCGTGACTTCTGGAAATATAGCGTTCATTTTCTTCATTTCATTGTTCTGACATGGTGTACCAACCGATCCCCTTGTGGTCGCCGGTCCCTGTAGCGTCACAATCTGATTTGAATTTTCCTTTTTATCATACATGGGGACGTTTGTATTTGCCCGTCCAGAGGATTCTTTGGTTGCATCCCTCTTTCTCTTGACTTTTTAAATGTGCATGTTGGTAAAATAGTCTACTGTGGTAGAGGAGCGTTCACCGATCGCCTTAGGGGCCACACCCGTCTATTTGTGCATTGAGATTCAGTCTCAAGTCCCGCCAGCAGCCGTTTCATTATAGGGAGAAAAATATGACCGACAAAGACAAGGAAGACATACGGCTTGTTGACCGTCAGGGCGTTGGATCTCTTATAAACAGATTGTGGGTTCGAGTCCCGGGGCTTCCAACACCTGGGTTTCGACATGGCTTGCTGGCTGATGACAGCTAATAAGCTGGAAATGGCCATTTCAGTCTCTGCATTGTGAGCAATAAGGTGAACGCCCAATCTGGGTCTGAAGCTTCGAAAACTTTCTGGGAATTTAAGTGAACCAAACAGCGCTGTTTCCCGAGAATAAATCTATGTTGGCTTGTATGTATTTAGACGCAGTATCTCGTATAAAATGAGTGTTGGGACTGAGGACTTGTCGTAGTTGCGTTAAGAAAGTAGCAGTCCAATAGCTGGTCATGGACACTTCTCGATCAAAATAAGAGGTCCTTCAGATGATTTTTGTTATTTCCCGTTCATTATTCATTAAACATAAACGTTGCCCGAGGCATTATTCCTAGGCATCGGCTTGGTCGCTCGCCTGATGAATTCACGGCGGCCTCTGTGACACTGACACCCTACCTAAAGATGCGTAAAGGCCGCAAGAGCGTGGGATCCTGAACCCCTGGGCATTACCTCGTCACCGAACAGAACTGGCAATTCACAACAATAACACTCAAATTGGTGGTAAATGACACAGATGTAGTGATGCATTTTAATCCCCGGCTCACCAAAGCTTCCGGCATTAACCACCTTCGAGACATATACGGTGCTTTTCTCGACCTGTGAGCCTTCTACTGAGGGTTGTTCGCGCGATTGGCTGATTTTAACTCCAAGTTATAAATGGAAGGCCATTTTCC